TTATTTTTCATTTTAATTTTATATGGTTTTAATGATTTTTTAATATAAAAAATAATAACTAAGAGAAAAGTAACATTTAGATTTAATTTAATTCATCAATACTCATTGTTTCTGAATTATCATCAATTTGGATTGGTAATGGTTTCCCTATTAAACCAGATCTTTTACTTACTTGAATGAGTAAATAACATATAATATATGATGTTATAAATACAAAAACCGCAAAGTATATTATTACTCTTGTTCTACGACGTTTGTTTATTGATTCTGTTATTATGTTTTCTTCAGAGTTGCTTGTTTCTAATATTTCTTTTAGTTGACTAGAACTTTGTGCAGAAATAACTTTATCAGCTACACTCGTTATTTTATTTATCTCTTCAGATTCTATTGGATTTGATTCACTCATTTACTCAGTTTTTATTCTTTTGTTCTTTTTTTAATTTTTTTTTGCGTTTTTGCTTTTTTTTTATTTATTTTTTAACCTAAAAAATCTTATATAAATTTATTGTTTATAACAATTAGATTTAATAAATTACTTGGAAAGAGAAAAAAAATACCCTAGAATATTAATTTTTTGTTTTAAATGACATAAATTAATTGATTAGAATCAATTAGAAAGGGTGGTTCATAGAATTTAATCTTAACAATACACGAAGAATAGTATAAAAGAATAACAAAGAAAGTACAAAAAGAATACCCCAAAGCAGAATAATCGATATGCGACAATTGCTTAGTAAAGAAGAATGATGAGTTTTAGAACTGTCAGATTGAGATTTTATCATTTCTATTTTTTTCTGAAATTTGTTAGCTTCTTTTGTAAAAACAGGACTGAAATCATCGACTCTCTTGAGTAACCCTTCATACTCATTTTCACTGAAGTCATTTACACTAAAATCATTTTCACTATGAGAAATATTGTTTATTTCTTTAAAGAGATTTTCACTTTCACCTTTCTCCATTAACTGACCATTTTTTTGTTCTTTTTTTTTTCTTCTCATTTTGATGATTAGATTTTTTAGGATTTTATCATTCTTTGTCTTATTTAAAAAAAAAAAGAAATACTATAACACTGTTAAACAAATATAAAAAGTTTAATAAAAGAAGAAGTCCATATCAATCAAAAAGGTCTAAATAATTGAAGAATGAATAAAAGTAGTGATATACTTTAATAACCATTTTTATAATTATTGTAATAATAGTACTAATGATTTTATTCGATTTCATTATAAAATATTTTAACAGTAATTTTATTAGAGTAGATAAGCTATAATAATAAAAAATAAAGGGGATACAAATAACATCAAAAAGTAAAGAAAAATAAAACAAGTAAAAGAAAGATAAAAAGAGAAGTATAAAATCAAACATGAACCAGTGAAGAAAAATCAGTAACAATATAAGAACGTCATTTTATCAATTTATAATAGAATCAATTAAAGAATAAATATATAATATAAAAAGATTATTAAAAAGAAGAGGCAAATTATAATTTAATTTTATATTTGTTATTATAATGAAATAATATAAAGAGTTGATTAATAATTATGTATTGTTTCATTTGATATGATAAGATATTTTTATAAAAAAAGAATGTTAATAAATAATGAATATTTATTCTGTAAAAAATAATTCAATATTGAAGTAGTAAATTATCACATTTTATTGTTTTTACTTATTTTAGATGTTTTAATTTAATTTATTATATTTTATAATTAGATATATTTATAGTAGTTATTAATTTTAATCATTTCATTGGTTTAATTCTTCTATTCTATTATTTTTCTTCTTAGAGTTATAACACGAATACTGAAATTAAAAAAGTTGTAATTAATGTTACTGTTTAAATGTTCATTAGATTTATTTTCATTTATTTCTTTTTCATTTTTTATTTATGAAAGATTTTTCAGATATTTTATTATTGTTCTTTGGAGCAATTATACCAACATAAAAACAATTTTTGATAAATAATATAATTAAATACATTAATTTTATCATTATGTCTTTTTGAATAATCGTAACACTTTCGTTAATATTTCTTATTATTAACTATTTAGTATTTTCTTGGGTCATTGAATAAAAGAATTGAATGAAATTTTTTATTCTTATATTCATTTCAAAAACTGAGATTAATATATGATAATTACATAATATGAAATTTAAATTATTTATTGAGTATCACAAATTAATTGAAATTTTGTTGAAATAGAAACATGGTGATATGAGTGAATATAATTGGTAACGAAAAAAGCAAATATTAGAAAATGAAGAGAAAGATATAAAAGAATAAAAAATAAAGTAGAAAGTAGAAGAAGATAAAAAGAAAATAAAAAGTTAATAAAACAAAAGAGATGATAAAAGAAGAGAAATTAGAAATGTGTATTTTTATTGAAAATGAGAAATATTCAATAAAAGTGTCTA